AATTTTAATGGAAGAAGAGACAAAAATTATATTTTAAAACTTTTTTTTGAGATCATGTATTCTGTTATCGTACACCTGTGTTTTTGTTTTTAAATATTCTGCAAACTGAAATTTACTTCTTCACTATATATAAGGATGAGAGAGAAACTTAATTATTGTTTTGTTTTTGGCATCTTCCAATGGCACAGCCAAGCTGGTATGCAGCTGATATTTTCATTGCATACTCTTCTTGAAAAACTTTCAAAAGTAGGTTTAAGAAGTTAATTAAATGGATGAATGTTAATCAGCTGTCTTTCAGCTCTGTCACAGTCCATTTTAGTTTTATGGTAAAAAATCAAAAAAAAATCTTGTTTCGGTCATGCTGTTACCGTACTACAAAAAAAAATTTGTATTACAGCTTTATCATTTTGTCATTTTGTTTTCAGCTTGTATTTTTTAATTTCTATCTTCAGTATCTTTGACTTTTTCTGACCTAATTGCTATTTAGATTGATTCAAATTGTTGAAATTAATGATTGACTCATTGCCATGGGCTTTACGGGATTACCATCTCATTGTGCCGTTTACCTCTTTCACACCCTGGTATTGACACTACTAATTGTTGACAGTTTGTTTGTTTCACACCTATTACAATTGTTCTTTAACTGGTCTAGCTGTTCCTATTGAATTTGTCGTTACTCTCTCGTTATTTAGCGTTAAGAACATAATAGTCAAAAGCTGATAGAATCATTCAAATGCTTTTCTTTTTTCTTTCTTGTTACCAAGGGTAGAACTCGCAGTGCAATCTTTTACTTGGAGTTGTGTCATGGACTTTTTAACTTTGTTTACACAATATACTTCATCTCAAGTAATATTAATCATATGTCCCTTTTATTATTGTATATATTTTTCTATTTGATAAAAGTTTGGATGGTGTATAGAGCTAGCTATCTTCATTTTTCTTTTTCACCTTTTTTTGATTTTTTGATTTTTAAAAAAACAAAAAAAAAAAACTTTTTTTTTTATTTTTGGCCAACTGTGATACTTCATGAAAATGATATTCTATTTAATTTAAATCTTCAACAAAAATAATAATATTTATCAATTTTATTCATACCTAAGAAATCAGGACTTTGTAATCAAAATCCAATCTGTTTCTGTGTTGGTGTGAACTGGGTTGGCAAAGTGCTGCAATTCCCATTGTTGTCTGCATTAGCTTTTAAACACTATGCCACATTACACTGATGCGGCAGTTTTGTACTACAGGGACACACTTGCCCATCATCAAGCATACACGTAACATTCTGCACATGATACCACGGTACTACATTAATTGTTGCCACCACCTGAGCTGTGACGATCAGATTTCCAAAAACAACATTTCTGTGCGTGCGCTCACCACATGTGCGTGTGCTTATATACGGATGATAACGTTGCTTATTCTAGAATATGTAACTCTGTAGCTCTGTACATTTTTCCATCCATAAAAAAAGGAAAACGAGAAAGAAACAAACGTCCATATCATCTTGGTTTCTGTGAATGGGTACAGTCTATGGCAGTATATACAGAATGACTCATAGTCGTCATAGTCGTTGTAGTAGTAGTAGTAGTAGTATTAGTTTTACCTCGAAGGGAGTCATTTAGACAACGAATTCCCCAGTGGTTTGACTACTCCACTCTACTCTGCTTGTCTGGGATTGGAATTGTCAGGCTTGATTGAAAATGATGCTCGCAATATCTGCAATTGGTCCTATCATATGCAAATGGGGCACGCTTCTCCCGACGTAATATAATAGGAGGGGTACTGTCAATGCAAATTTCCCTTGTGGATCTAAAAATGTCTAATTTTTTTCTTTCTCTAATAGTTAAGTGTGAAAAAAGATGGTGGTGTCGTGGGTCATAGTTAATCACATTGACTTCACTCGTAAGTGAAGGAAAAAAAACAAGCCGAGACACATTGTAAGGCTGAGAGAAAGCTCACAGTGACTCTCTTGTTCTGAGTGTTACTGCTCTGTACAGTGGCCCGGCTACAGATATGGGATATCATATCCACCACCTAAGCATCATAGAACACGCCATCTGGAGTAGTTGCACTATAACATCACTGAGCGCTGCATTGTGATCACTGCCTGTTATTTGATGTTAATTTTCAATTAGTACCTCTCCCCAGTGACGTTGCGTTTCACTCTCGCCCCAGATCTCACTTGGTGGTTTTATTCTCTGTATTACAACGATAAACAGCTTCAGTGTTTTCGTGTTTTTTTTCTTCTCTCTGTGCCAGTCTGGTATCTTCCCTTTTTTTTTTTAACAAGTGCTTTTAAATAGACATCGTCACTGCTCCCTCAATCATCCCCTCATTTTGTTGTCCGCACATGTTGTATACTGATTGACTGGGTATCACGTTATTAGACAATGTAATCAATACACAGTGCTTTTCACACCTATCATGTTAATGTTTCCCCCTACTGTTTTTTTATTTCATCACATTTTTGTTTTGATTTGTTTTTTGGTTTTTTTTTTGGAACACCATTTTCTCATTTCGGGTACATTTGTGAAGCTTATTGTCGGCATTAATATTTATAGGAGGCAACGTGTTGAAAGCATTTGCAGTTTTGAACTTTGGCCCCATCGAGCTTTCACCAGCAACCTAAAGAGTAGCAATATGGCGAAATGTCAGACTTTCCTTTCTAGATAGCATTTAGTGAAGTGGCGCATTGTTTCTAGAGCGTATTCATCAGCCTCTCGACGCTTTCCTGAGGTCTTGGTTATCAATAGTAATTAAGCGGCGACTCTTGTGAACATCTTGTTGCAGTCTGTTTCTGACATCTTTATTTCATACTGACAGCGTGAAGTTCTTTCAAACCTGGCTACCCATATGTGTTTTCTATGCCACGTTTCTTTTCCGAATAATGACGAGCAATAATAACCGCTTACTAAATATTTGTTTCTGCCATTGTAAGGGTGGAGTGAAAGAAAATTCTGTTATACGAGGCTTTTGTCTAATTTTTTTTCTCCCGTCAATCTTTTTTTTTGTATTCCGGCACAATATGGTTGGTGCGAGTATTTTTATGACCCCCCCTCTCCATCTCTTTATTTTTCACCCCTCACTTTCTTTCTCTCTTGTTTTTACTTTTATGTGCCTGAGGGATATCATAGCAATCAACGTAATCCTTTTGTTTTGTGTTTTAAAGTGTGCACCATTTGTTTAATTATAATAGATATCAGTGATTACTGCATTATCTGCAAATTTGGATTCTCAATTTAAAGAAATGCCCCCTGATTTTAATATATAGAGACTCATCTTTAGAAATTTTCCTCTCTCACTTAGTGATGTTTTGTTTCTGTTTTTGTGGTTCAAGTTTAATTGTTTTTTTGTGTTAAATTTGTATCTATTCTTACTAAAATTATGTTTCTGCTTTTCATTTTACTGTGTATATGTAAAAAATTTAAAAAGATTTTTGTTCTTAAATGAAATCATTCTTGAATTGCAACAGTTGTTGCGCAAAGTGCATTTGAATTTTGTGTAAACAGACATTGTACTTAGTAATTTACACTCATATATGTTGCATGGGACCCACCATCAACACAAACACAGTGCAGGTACTGTGGTGCTTTAAACATTCTAGAGAGCAAAGTAATTTTTCCCATCAGGCAAATCAAATTCTCTTCCAAACACACACTTTAAAGGCAGTATGCATGGCAGGTCAAGTTTTGAGAAAGTTCACCATTAAGTACGTGTGGAAACTCGGTTGCACGTCAAAACAATTTTGAGGCGATGCTTAAACTCTGAGTTGCCACTGACGTAGAGAAGATCTTGAGAATTTCCCCATCGTTCAGAAGAGCTCTCGGAGAAGCTTTTGACCCATCAAGTTGTTTGGAAGCCCACACGTAGAATTTCACAAACCATTAATGTTATTTCTTAATGATGCTCCTGATGATGCGCTTATTGTTTTGTTTTTTTTGATACCGACTCTGGAGTTGCACTGTATATGTATATTTTTGTTTTAAATAAATCTTTTTAAAAAGAATTTGATTTGATCTCATATTGGTGTAAATGCTAAAATGATGGTGTATTATTCATGTGCTATCAATCTCAGGGGATCAATAACTAGAAATGGAGGGGGGGCAATATATTCCACAAAATAAATGAAATTCCTCGCTAAGCGATACCTATCTGGTGTGTTGGATGTTACTTGTACTTATATTGCTGCTTGATGAGTTTCTGATGAGCAATATGTTTTTTTTTTGAGGTCCCATCTTTGTTTAATTTGCTTTCTTTCTTTGCTCTAGAATACTGCTATGTTACAAAAGTGGACGCCTGTAAAAAGAGCTGTCTCTAGTGGGTTTTTTTCTTTTTACAGCTTTTGAAGCAGCCCACAAGGATTGGTTTGAGCATTCTCCTTGTGTGGCAAGAGAATGCTTCATCCCAAGTACCCCAGAATTAGTTAGCATTCACCCCATTTCACCCTCATCATTCCTAATAAGACTGAGGAAATCAAAAAAAAAAAAAAGTTGACTATATATTTACGCATATATCATTAATGGTACTTCGTGAATTTTAGAGTATCAGGCTTCCTGTTTTCAAAAGGCTAACATGAAGTATGTCGGAGTAATTTTTCTGCTTTCAGCCGAAGTGTTCTCTTTCTGAGCTCTACAAAAACGGTCTAGTGCTTCCGTTCGGAGTTTATTTCATGTAGGACTATTGTTCAGCGCGTACTGCCATTGCTGTTGCACCAACACAGCAGGGTGGATTCATGTACGCGAAATGGCAACAGCTATGTTTACTACTTTCTACTGTGATCTAATAATCGGTAGCTCGTGCTGGTTCTAGGCCAGATGTTGCTTCATTTTATCCTCTCTTATGATTTTTTCTTTAACAGGTATTTTATAATTAATTCTGTTCATTCTAGTTATTTCTCCTTCTCTCATAAATACATTGCTTTCATACAATATTATTCTTTCATGTTTGAAATGAAACAAATCCTCACATTTTCTTTTTTTTTTCTCTCTCTCATTCTACAGATCACCGCCAGCATCATGGACAGTATCAGAACAACCGAAGTCAGGGATACGGCGCAAGGTAACAAAACTTTATAAGCGGTGTAGTTTTATTGTTGTACATAAGCCTTTTTAAATCTGGTTCCGTAAATATATTTATAAATTAGATTTATGAAATATAAAAATTTCTGAAATATTTGTACTAAAATTAAATATTCGCTATGATTTTAATTCTTCAATTTGTTTCTATGTTGGTAGTCATTTTAGTTTACTGTTCCTTGCATTTTATTTTGTTTATTTTTTTTGGCATGTAATTCTGTTCACTCTATGCGACATCAGTTGTGTGATTGTTCAGAGTACTATAAACTGCCTCTTCCTCTTAGCAGAAAACCCCAAAATGTTTGAAAACTAACTAAAGAAAACAAAACTACAATATAGACCACTATCCATTACATGTTTGTCTAATTTGCCCAATTCAAAAATTTCCGGTTGCACAGTAGCAACAGTTGTAAGGCACCTCCAGGGTGGTGGTGGTATTACCAAGTCTAAATTTCCGAATTCCATTAAGAAACAAAAACTTGAGATCATTTAAATTGTCCATCTGGCAGTGGAATATTCTGAAAACAAAACATTTCCCCACCTCCTCTTCCCTCTCTTTCCCTACTGTTGTTTTCTGAGGCTGCTCCCCCCCCCACCCCCCGAAATTTTGAATTCTGCATCCGATAACAAATGAAACGGAACGCTTTACTTTACAAAGTTACTTTGGCTCCATAGAAGTAATTCCTAGAAAGTTTATTGATCCAACAGGTTGCATTTTGATTTAAATTTTAATCAGATCTCGGGAAAAGGCCTTCAGCAGTTGGTTCCTGTCTCTATCCTTTGAATAAATGGCTTGGGTGGGACTGTTCTTTGTAGATACTAATTGTTTCTGACCAAAGGCTGTTGTCATTGATCCTTTTGTTGTGTTGCCGATACCACCCTACCACAACAGAGGGAACAATGATTCGGCTTTACACAAAAGGAACGCTAGAGGAAACGCAGGGTATTTTAAACTATACTTCAGGTTTTTTTTTTCCCCTGGTATATTTTTTTTATTTATTTTTTTAAAATCATATCTTCTCTGTCAGCTCTAGGACTGAGCTACGGTCCTTCTCCTTTGCTTTTTTTTTTAAAGTGGCAGATAAGAGACTCTAGATAGCGTAACTGTTGACCCCTAAGAATTCAATTGATTCGCGAATGTGATATGATCAATGAGTGACTTCTAGAAGTAGAAAAGCGTAATTACTCCTCGAATAGGAAATTGTTGTTGTTGTTCCAATTTATAATATACATGTTGGCCTACTTTTTTAATGTGTATACATCTTGAATATTAGCTGTCAGTACTTACAGATTTCAACTAATCAGCTGAAATTTAACCTGGTTCTATCATTTCTTTGCAATAATAATAATAATAAGAACAACAGTAAATATTATTAGAAATTAAAAAGAATCAGAATACTGTAGAATACTTTATTTTAGCTGGAATTAATTTTCGCTGAAAAGACTTTTTGGGTGTTTTGTATGGAATTTATTTTCACTGACATTTGACAAGTTGAATGTAAAATATCTGAAAAAAGGTATATTCACGGGATTTTATTTTCACTGAATCATTCCTTCAGCGAAAATTAATTCCAAGCGAATATAAAGTATTTTACAGTATTGTAAAGTAGCTCATTTTAGTGACCAGAAAAATATTAACATATAAATTAGATTACGTATTAATTCATTCTACCTTGCTATTTTCTATATATTTTTTAAAATTATATAATTTAATCTGGGGGGATGAGCTATTCTTTTTATTCTCCCCATTCACTTATAAGCAACAGATGTTTGAACACAGCTACCATATTTGTTCTATTAAAAGCGCATCACCAGTAGAAGTGCTTGTAAATGAAACATTAATTGTATACAGGATCATGTAAACATGGCTTATTTTTACCACATCCACACCCCTGTTATTTAAAACTTTAAAGATCAGGAGCTACTAAATAATAAGAGCAAATACGATGTCTGACATTTGGGGGGGGTCATTGCAGGTTATTCATTCTCGTAAGCTTCAGTTCAGTTGGTCTCGGTAAAAAGCTTAAATTTGAAGTGCCACACGTAAGTTTGATTTTCGCGTACATTTCATTTGTTCTTAACTGTATTTAAATGGCACGCGTAAGTCGGATTTGCATGCAGGCTGTGATAAGAACGCTGCGCGAAAGTCTGATTTTCACATGCGCGTCAGTGGCATATAGTTGAAAATGCACCTCGTCCTACTCGCACGTAACTAACCTAAAGAGGCACCCTTACATACCTCAAAGCTTGGGTGAATCTGTTGTGTGTAGTTCCAATAAGTCAAATTTGAGAACTGTTACCCCAAAAAAATCATAGATTTATAACATTTGGCACAACTATAATGCATTTATATTTTCAAAATTGATATTTCTACTGTCTCGGTACCTTGCTCAGAACCAATGAGATGTGAAACAAAATACTAGTACCTGCAAATTACCGTGCTACGGTAGTCTCTTATTCAGACTCCATGTCAGACATGTGTTGCTGCGCTGTTTGTAGAAAGTATTGTCTCTTCACTTGAAACTCTTTTTTTTCCCCTCCCATTAAATTAAACAAATTTGAATAGAGTCAGTAAAGCCAGAGATCTGTTTTCTGAAAGCATTACTTTTTGTTAATTATTAATCTCAAACCATTGTGACGAGGGAAGCCGAGGTCTGTGGGTCAGATTGATTCCGTCTGCAAACATGCTTTGTCGGCGCTGTATGATGTCAGACCCACGTGACATTAGAATTACATTACATTTCAATTCATTACCCAATGTATTAGAATTGTAACAAATTGAAAGAGAATCTGTCAAAAACATGCTGCGTGGTTCGGATATCAGTTTGTATCAACACCTGTGTCATTGTCGTTTTGTGATATTGATATGGGGGTTAAATAAGCTTTTTTTTTTTTTTTTTTTTATTATTTAATCGTGTCATTTGGGGGTGATGTTGAAATAATCAAACAAATATATTTAGCAGTATATGGGGTTACATAAAGTATTGAACGTTGTGTAATTGGCCAGCTGTTCCCTGTAATAATATTGTTTTTTAATGGTAATGATCCCACTAGCTTGTTGCACAGAACAAAAAAATGGGGGCTTATGTTTGTTTTTTTGTTTTTTTTTGTAACTGCTGGTTGAATCACAGTGTTGAAATCATTTTCCATAATGGTATCGGAATGAACCAGAGATCAACGATTCAATTGAAATTTGTATAACTACAAAATCTGTGCATATTAACTAGCCAATGCTGAGAAATGTTTTCATAACTGATGCTTTAGATGAATTAGTTATTCAAAAAGCTATACTATTCAGACTGGTGTGCTTAGTTTGAAAAATTAATGCTTTCATTTTTGTTTTGGGAAACATTTTTGAAATACAAGATTATTGTTATAAGAGTAAAAATCAGTGATTACAAAAATATTAGATGCCATACATGGTGCTTCATTTGTGGTCAGAAAAGAACATTATTGTCAAAATGCAATCACTTGCAATGTTTCATGCCCCCCCCCCCCCCCCAACAAAAACGGAATATGACTGAGTTAGCGTAGCGGTGTATAAAGACTTGCAGTATCAGTTATCATTATCAG